ATAAATAGTGAAACATTAGCAGTGCTCATCCTACGGCTGTAGCGATGCCATTTTCCCCTTGGAAACAAGAAATTATTGGAAAACACTCTGAGTACGGTGGCGCAGCTCCCACCCTCTTCGGGACGCCACCATGCCAAGGGCCGGGTACGGAGCGGAGGCCGGCGGAGCCGCTGGGCGCGAAGCCTGCTCGGACGCCCCTTTCCAGGCGCGGTCCCTCGGAGAAGCACACCAGGAGGCAGCCCACCGCGGGCGCCTCCTCCACGCGCCCCCGCGGCGGCGCCTCAGAGCCGCCCTGCGAAGGAAGGACAGGGCGACAAGGGGGAAGGTGAATTGAGTAAGAATCCTCAGCAGTTCACGATACAGTAATAATAGTAATTAAAAAAAAAGCAGGGTGAAGCGGGTAAAGGGGAAAAGGAGGGGAACTCTGGGAGTAGTTGAGCCGGAGCAGGAACACCGGGGAAGCCAGTGGGACTTTTGCCACCAACACTGGTAGAGGAAGGATTACACTATGTGTGTGTGCTGCCCCTGAGCAAAGGGCTTGATCCCGGTTTGGGCCTCTGGGATAGCATTGCGCTGAAGGCGCTAACTGCCTGTTTATAAGCGATCCCGAGCCAGCTTGGCTTGTGTAGCTGGGCCTCCAGATTGATGTGGGCCTAAGCCAAAACTTATTGTCAGTGCACTGCCACTCAGCGTGATACTTGCTCAGCTGTCATAAAATGTGCCTTGGACATGTTGTGTTTCTTTCTTTTTTTTTTTTCCTTTGAAGTCTTTTAGTATTTATTTTCTTTCAGTTTTACTTAGCGCAAGAAAAGAAAATAAATAATGCAGAAGTAAGCTTCTGCCTCTGCTCCCTGGTGCAGAAAAGAGGCATCCTACACCTACAGTAAAAAAGGAATCTGGACTTGACAGTACCTACTAATTACTAACAGGAATTATTATTATTATTATTTAATTAGCTGAATGTTTAACATGTCACTAGAATACAGAGAAATACTTTTGCTGATCTGAGAGTCTTCAGATCCCTTGGCAGAGTGAAGAGTAGCTTTGTGATATTATCAGAAATGCCATGACAGATAAAATAAACAAAAATGGGTGTTTGGGTAACTAAGGGATGCTTTGTGTCTGTAGTATTAAAACCACAATTACCTACATACATATCTACACTACTGTACTTGCTTAACACTAAAATAGTTCTAAAAGCCTTGGGCCCCCACTCCTGGTGCTCTCTGTGCAGGGTTTTGCCTTACTCTGGGCGCTCCAGCAGGATTGCAGGACTATTGATGTCAAGAGATTATACAGTAGAGAGAAAAGGGGAGACCTGTGTCCTCTGAATCTGAACACAACTCCATCATTTACAACACTGTTCAAAACCAGAAAGTTACCAAAGCAGTGATGCTAACATACACGTCCAGGAGCAAGCAGTGAAGCAGGGATGCTGATGAAGAAGTGAAGCATGAGATGGATGACTTTTCTAAGCATTTTTGTGAGTATTTAATGCTAAAGTGTGCTGTAGGAATTAGTGAGAAGTGATGGTAGGTTATGTATGAATTGGCTAGTGGGCTTAATTCCAGTTACTACCTGTCTGAGTGCTCTGCCACCAACAGACAAGACAGCACAGAGGTATAAAAGCAGATCCATACCGCTTTACTTATGTCTAATCAGAGATATTATTCAAGTGCAGACCTTCAGTTGCTCTGGACCGGAATAGCCTTAATAGCTTCAGTGAACTGCTCGGTGAGATTCTGCCTTAATGTCTGAAATATGGGCTAATCTTTCCACGTTTTTGCATTAACACTTCTGAAGTTAGGCACCTCTGCTACTTGCTGCAAAACACTGGACTCAGAAACGGATTTTTTAATGGACATGAAACTTTTCAAAATAATATTGCTTTTGCTCACTGACTCTCGGTCCTGAAAAGAGCTGAATGCAAACCTTGTGACTGAAATGGTGCAGGCCAGATGGCAAAAGGCAAGTAGTAGCAGTAAATAAAGGCCAGATTTTCAAAGTTATATAGAATTCCGTGCTTGCTGGATCTCACTGGATGCAGAAGTGTAGCTCTGTGATGTTGAAAATCTTGCCTTTTATTTTGGAAGGACAGCTGAAGTGCCTGGGATAGCTAAACTCATTTTGAAATTGCTTGTGCAATCTTGTGCACCAAGCCCTCAGTGGTGTGTGTAACCCTGCATAGGGCAGCCTCCCCTACTTGTGTTTTTTACCTCCTGGAAGGAGGTTTAAAAAATAATTCCCTGCATTTTTATTCCTTTTCTATATGAATGACTCTGGTGCCTTGTCATTTCTCTCCCTGTCCAGGACAGACTTCCTTGATCACTTCCATTTGCTGTTCCAACCCACCATTATCCAGAAACATCTTGTAACCAAAGCTTAACTTCGAAAGAAAGAACTATTTATGAGCTTAAAGTTAAGTAGCTGTTTCACAGGCTTTGGGCCTAGCGGTGCTAGAAGAAATAAAACACAACATAAAAACATAGACTGGGAAGGTGACTGCATTACCTTGCTAACCAGCACAGCCACCACTGCATTTCAAACAAAACAATCTGTGTCTACAGCCCTGAGAAAACTCTATTTCATAATGTGTTAACTCCTTCATATTCTGATGTGATGACATCTTTTCGTGTCAGCAAAACAACGCCGGAGCTCCAGCAGATTCCCAGTGGGTTTGGCTGCGGGAAGCCTTTGCTCCCAGCACCTCACCGGACCCAGCAGGCTGCCAGTCTGCAATATCTCCATGCGCCTTTCCAAGAGCAATAATTCACCATCATGCCCAGAGGGGAGTGAAGCAAGAGCAAAACTCACTGGCTTTTGCACTTCTGTTTTCACACCTGGGACATTTTTGCCTTTGTGCTCTGAATCGGACAGCAGCTGAGCTGCGTTATCCTTGTGTGAGGCAAGGGACCACCGAAACTGCCGCCCGCCTGTCCGTATCATAAAATCCATTCTGCCCTTGCAACAGCAGCCCACACAGCTCAGAGCAGCTGGAGACAAAGATTTCAGCTTCTACAGAAATGAACTATTTGAACTTTTTTGGGTAGAAAGTTGAAGCAGGTCCCCCCAGTGTGAGCAGGGTCCGAACGTCCAACCCCTCTACAGGCCCTTGCAGTCTCACCCCAGAGCACTCCGCTCCTGCTGTCGCTGCACTCCCCCTCCATGGTCAGGGAAAAGCTTTCTGCTGAGCATGGCACAGCTTTCGCCACATGCTTTTCAGATGTTTCAGATATACAACATTTCGTTGCATTTGTCCATCACTATTATTAGGTAACTGTTGTTAAGCTTCTACCTGTGCTTTATCTTTTGGTCTTGGAGATCTCATGGGTAGGGCTTGTTTTTCCCGTTGCCTAGAATAACAAGTCCCAACCCTGAGTCTGGGTCCCTAACATTAATAAGGAATAACTAAAGTGTTTACCTCAGACTGGATTAATCACATCAGGCCAATGCTGAGAGAGTGCTGAATACTTACGCTTTGATTTATGTTTTCCCCTGTGGAGTCGGGTGACATCAGATGATGCTTTCAGTAAGCACCAGGAATTTTCACCAGGCCAACTCCTGGAGCAGGAAGGGAAGCACACCCTGCGTGACTGATGGCTGAGTTTGCTTGGTGCATAGGCAAAGTCCGAGCTGGAGCTCACGTGCCAGCTCTTTGGAGCCATTTCGCACCCTTCAGCACTTGGCACACGACGAATTCGTGTGAGCAAACAGTGCAAGTTTGATCAGATGGGTTGTATAAAAGCTGCAGGTACTCAGCATCTTTCAGCACTTGCCTCTTTAAGCACAAATACTAGTCAAATTTCTACAGAGTTCCGACAAAGAGTGTGGGTGACAGGAAAGGAGTAAGATACTGTCAGTAGTGTTTTTGTTTAATAGGACACTGCAGTTATCCTAATTATGTTGGTAAAAACAGGCAGTCTAGGGTAGGTGCTTGAAACACCATGAAGTCCACACACCCTGCTCAGCACATCCACTAATCTCCACAACCTTCGAGTACATGGCTGGGACCCATCTTAGCAAATTCTGGTCATTCATAAGTGAGATGTTCAGTCAAGAAGGTCATATTCAGCCCTTATGAGGGTGCTACCAGAGGGTGATCTGCCTCATCCTAAAAGATCTACACATAGAAGATCTTAATTTTGGAAAGTGGTGAGGAAAGGTGAAGAAACTTAACTCTCTCTTCTTTAATTTGCTTTTTGTTTGGAGCATTTTTTCTTTTCTTTTTTTTTTTTTTTTTGACTTCCGACTAAGCAGGCTATGGTTACAGTGGCCTTCTCTGCAGTTATATCACCCCAGCTTGCAAGGGAACAGGAGAAATAAAGAGAAATGAGCGCTGATCACTCAGTAGTATATTTTATCTGAATGCTGCATGAGTAAATGATCCCAATTTTGTCTAATTAGTCAGAACACAAAAATGGTTGCTGGCTTTAGGCTGACCATAGGAGGACAGATTATGCCTTTGCCAGCAATGCAAAAACAACTTTCTCAAATTCTTTGTCAACCTTTTTTAGACAACCACAGTGAATTTGTACCAGTTGAAAACCTCAGTATGTTATTTCTGAGGCAGTACTGAGCTCTCTAAAATTGTGTTTACCATCTTGTGGAATCAAGGTCTCCAATTTGAACTAATGAGAAAGGTCTAGATTTACACTGAAATGAGTGAAAAGAGAATGTATGTGACTTACTAGGAATCAAAGAGCCTAGGAAAGGAACTTATTTCTTACAACAATTGCTCACGGTGACTCTGGCTGGTTACAAATAGCCCTCTCATGCACCTGCATGAACGTTTTCCAGAGCTGTGCTCGCCAGACGCCGATCCTGCCGCCTGGCGCCCCATGCACCCGGCCCCTCCACGCTCACTCACATTTGCATGGCTGCAGCTGTTCGCAGCATTGTGCTGACGATGGCAGCGGTACTGCAGCGACATCGCTTGTTTTGTTTTGTTTTTGAGGTGAAGGAAGATATTTTTAACCCGGACCATTTGGGCGCTGATTCCATCACAGCCCTGCAAACAGCTGCGTCAGCACAACTGCGATGCGCGTGGTGGCATCTGGGCAGGAACAAGAGGCAGGTCCATTTGGCAAGAACCTCCCAAACCACCTTTACTGCCAGAGAAAGAGGCCAGGGTGCCTTGGAAGCACCACCCAGTTCTTTCACTGCCTCCTCTTGATCCAGTGGGAGAGCAAGAGCGTAAATTTGGAGGAAAACACAAGTCTTGGAGAAAGAAGCAGTGAAACTACCGACTGCTTGCTCCCAAGGTTTCTGTGGCCTCAGAAAACGAGCAAGAAATTATGGTTAATTCCCACATTTTAGCTACCTTGCTTAGAAAGAACCTCCAGCGCTGACAAGAACAAGCGTTATTAAAAAATGCTAGCTGGTCGCGAAGCCATCACAGAATCTGTAGGCTATGTTTGTCTGCCACAAATGTCAAGTGTTACACTTCTGGCACTCAATACTTCCAGGCAGCGGAAACAAAGAGAGCACAACAGGTTATTTTTAAATAGTTTAAACTTTAGTTCAAGCATTTTGTTTTCATATTTTTATGCAGTCTAGCTCCTTCAGCATAACACCTGGCAGCTGTCACATCTATCACAACAACACTGCTTCAGGCTAAGAGGCAGCTTATTTTATATGGATCTTTTCTTTTTATTAGTGGGAACCAGCAGAGTATCCTCTGAAATAATTGCTAAGATTACCTGCCACCAAAAAACACACGGTGGGAGACAAAATAATACAAACAGACAAACTCCATCAATCATAGTCCTAGCTGTGTGCTACTGTGAATAGTGGCCATAATGAATTTTAAATGTCCACTGGGAGCAAATGGCTTTCTTCAATAGATTTTCCTCATATTACAATTAGCATTATGTGGCTAATGGCTAATGCAGTGTCTCTTACTTAATGATCTTAGAGACCAAGTTCAGGGAAAAACTCATCTGGCTTATTTTGGTGCAGAATCTGTACATCTCCCACAAGATACCAATGTCCAGACACCTGAATTTGTGGTGGAAACAATTCTAGAGAATAGTTTAACAGAGTGACTTGTTTCTGATCAGTGTTTGAGACAAACTAAATGCATTTCCCCTTTCTATATAACCAATCTTTTTCATAACTGATATAAAAATTCCAATAATAAGACACCCTTTTAATACTGCAGCTATTATTGCAGCACCCTCAAATTTCTTGGAAAGTCCGAGAAAATCAAGGAAACCCAAGAGGAGAATTTTTACAAACATGCGAATGCCAAGGTTTCCCCATCGAAATAGTCTCTCCTGGATTTATCCACACACCATCCTCTGACCCTCTCATAATGAAGTTTTTGAGGACCTCCCGATCAATGAGCCATCTACCATTTCTGCTCCTTTCCCAGTCCTACTGGAGAACTGTCCAGTGAAGACAAGGATCATCCTGAGAGGCTGTAGGGGTAAGCAGTAAGTGCTGGCCACCAGTATCAGTGAGTTCCTTGCTACTTCCAACTCTTTTTCCTCCTTTTGCTTCAACAAATCAGCAGGTACAACTCGAGATGAACAAGTTAACTGTGAAATAAAGACCTTCCAAGTACTACTCTGTGGTAAAGACCTTCAAATACTCCTCTGTGGTAGTGACCCATTTAATCCACGCCAAAGAAATATTCCTATTGACTTTTAGAGAGACGTAACAAATCTAGTAACAGCTTAACTTCAGTATGCCAATGTGCACATTGTCTTCCATTGAGTAACAGTGCTGTAAATTAGAGCTTTTTCTTTCTCTCCAAACGGTATTTTTGCAGATCCAGCGCACAGGACACGGTGCCAGCTGAGCCTGTGACTCACCCTGGCGCTCCATGCACCGGATCAGGTAGCGGCGCCGCGAGGCGCACGGCACACGCCGTGCTGCGGGGCTGCCGCACCGCGCGTGCCCACGCCGGGAAGGATGGACTTAGCTGTGAGCAAGACGGGGGTGACAGACGTGAGCTGTGGGTCCATCACGCCTTGGTGAGGGTCAGAAATACCCCCACAGGAGGAAATGCTGGAACTTCAGCTAAGCAACAGGTTGCTGTTCTTTAAAGCCACCTTGTAACAGAAAGAGAGCCCACGCCACAGTCAAAACTCCTTTTTCCCCTGATTGCCTGTTGCCCCTTTTTCTCTGTGCTTGTTTTTCCATGACTTCAGTCACCTGAATCTTCTCTTTCTTGTGACCATGGCAATCAAAGCAGGTAGCCAAGGAATGACTCGGCTCCAATAATAATACTTTGCTCAGCCAGCAGCACTGTGGCTTCCTGGCCAGGCGCCGGAGGGATCATGTCTCACATCATCATCTATCCCCGTGCGTGAGCAATGCTGGCCTGTTCACACACTACCCGGCCAACCTATGTGCAAGATATTAAATCAGGACGGGCTTCCTGCTGCCCATCTCGCATGGTTCCCAGGTGAAGCCTGAAGAAGCGGTGACAAACACTGCTCTTAACGATGCTTAACTATTGACCCGATTACTAAGACTACAAACAAGTGGCAGCAGTGCCAGGCTTGGAACTAACCTGCATCTGGGCTGACACCATAAAAAAAACTTATTTTATATAAATAAATGATAAAATTACATTTAGATAAGAAAACAAATCTTTTTTAAAATATTAAAATGCATGCCAGACACCAAAAAGGCTTGTTACATTGATGGAGAAAAAGAACAGCTATGTTTTCTCAATAAATCATTTTACAATAGATTAAGTCAAGCAGCAACTGCTTCAACCTGAAAAAATGCCACTTCTTGGTGCAGAAGTGCAGAGTCCCATGTGCTTTAGGAGCTTGGGCCTGTATCTTGATCTGCACCTTTGGTGGGCAGGACAGACTTGAGCAAATGTGTCAGGATGTTTTCTAAATTAAGGAGAACAATGAGAAAATTGGACCACTTGAAGGGTTGTGGGATCCTTCTTTATTCAGTGGAAAGAAAAGTCCTCTGCCAACTTTGCCAGATTTTGTAGCAGGGTTTGGATAGCACGGAACCCTCTCTTCTGGCTTCTAACCTTGGGCTAACAGATTTTGAATTAGTTATCAGTCTCTGAAGCTTAACCAGCTAACAATTATTGTAAATATGTCTGGAAGGTGTATTACCTGTAAAGGGATTTAAGGCTGAGTTACTGCTGTATTTCCTATCTCTCTCTCTCTACTTTTGTTTTTCTTCTTTTTCTTTTCTTTTTCATGTAAATGTACCCATCCAACCCACATCTCCAATTCAAGTGTCAGGCACTGAAACAAGGCATGATGCTCTTCATTCCTGTGTGCCCCAATCCCTCAGAGGTCAGGAAGGCCTAGAAGTGGCAGGATTCAGTGTCTAAAGAGGAGGACTCAGCTCTAATTAACTGCTAATTACTGCTGGGGGATTTCAGTATGTGCAGTCAGCTAGGCTGGTATTTAAGCACTGATCCCTCTCTCTCTGTTAACAAGCCTATGAGCCCTGCTTTGCACAGAAGAGTTTACAGCTCCATGGAAAGTCTGAAATGTCTCAAGGCAGCAGGAAGACAACTAAACCAAATACTCTACCAGCAAGCAGGTGGCTTGTGTTGTTGTGACATAGATCTACCATAGTGTGATGTAAAACAGCAACAGTTCATCCCCGATTAAGAAATAACACTTTGTTTACATGCTACTTCCCTTTGAGAATGTCTTAACAGAGAGTGGAAGGAGAAATATTTTCAGAAGGAGGTTTCGTGCAGATACAGCTCAGTATTTCAAGGAGCTATTTTCAGGAAGACAAGATCTGGGTGAGGCTGGCTTTGTATTAACTTGAACAAGAGAAATAATTTTGTCCCCACTGTTATTGTTGAGGTCCGATTATTGCCAGCAACGGCTTGAAATTGAAACATATATAAATCAGATGGCATCTGTGACTCACCAGACAAATCACAGACCAGACTATTTGAGGTAAAACTTCAGGTGAAATATTTGCCACTCATATTAATTATGTGAAACTGTTGTCTGAAAGCCCGTCTTAATGCATTGCCCTCACGACTCGTCATCGCTGCCTCTGAATCACGCAGATAATTCTCAGAAGCAAGGGGAAGAGAGGTGTTAAAAGAGGAGCAATCAAGACTTCTGATTTTCTCTGCATGTATTTGCTAAACTGAAGAAAAAAAATCTCACCTTAAGCACAAAGTCAAGATGCGAAATGGAAATTTACAAGCAGAAATTGCCACCAACTAAATAACAGCCCGAATGGCCTCAGGCCTCAACTTCATAACTGAGCCCCACCTCAGTAAGTCAAATTAGAGAGAGGCCAAAGCAGAAGTTTTAAATGTCTCTCTGAGAGTTTGCATCAAAAAATACCTATTTCTCAGCTACAGAATGCATAATCTTTCAAAGGTGAAATTTAAGTGAGATTTGGGAAGCAGCTTCAAACAGAATTTAACTGGGATTTTTATTCTGATTCATGGGTCTTCTATAAAAGGCCAAACATCACTGAGGATAAGTGACCCATTTTTCAGTCAGTCAAATCCCGCAGACTTTTTAACAGCACAGACATAGACCAGTTTTCTACCTGAGACGCAATATGAGCATATTCAGGTACAGAGAGCAGATAGCAAGTTGAATTCTCTTCTTTGTGCTCTTGGATCTTTCAATAACACTAAATATGACTGCACAAGGGAGAAGGGAGCTTTGGGAGCAGAAACCGGCTTCCGGGGGGAGTTCAGCTAGGGCTATGTTTGCTCCTGATACCAACAAACTTTCTGCCTCCTTTTGACAGCAAACTGCAGTTTGGCTGCGTTGGGTTGGCCAGGGAGAAGGGCCTTGCTTAGTGTGAATTCCCACTAAATCCTGCCTTGCAAAGCTCTCTGCTCTCAAGCAAGCAATCCTTGCCCTGGCAGCAGTAATGTGCTGACTTAGCTGAGCAAGACTGGCAAGACTCAGTTTCCAAATTATAGAAGATAAAGGAGTTTATCGCTTGTATATCACCACTGCACTTGTGCAATAACTCCAGAGAAGCACTGAGCTAAAATGTAGACCTGCACCTTTGCAGAGTGACGGAAAAGCAGAAGTACACGAGCAAGGAGCACAGCCTGATCTCTCTCAGGTTTATTTTTGTTTTAAATAATCTTATTTTGTCCATGTTGTCTGCATATTGACAAGAGACAACCAGTTGGCTAAGACTTAGCTAAATACTGACTTCTCTGACATATGCCTTAATGTCATTTCATGGTAAATATATGAAGGATCACCATCTGAAATGGAGGCATCCAGCAGCAGGGCAAAGACAGCTACGATACCTGAATACAGAGAGGAATGTCCCTATGGTAATTCTGGCAGGTGGCATAAGGTTGCAAGCAAGTAATAGAAATTTTAGAAACTGATGAAACAAGATTAACATAGGCCACTCCATTAGTATTTCTCTTTCTAAGCAGCTCAGTCCTGATTATATTTTATACCCTCATGGAATTAAAGTACTGTACTTACTGGCAGCAAAGGGAAATTAGATCAGAATAGTGTCTGTGGATGATTAACTTGCATTTCCTTTCAAGCTTGAGGTATGCATTTGAGTCCTCTGGAACGACAACCAGCCACGCCGCGACACAGGCTGCCAAAGGATTGGGAGACAGAATATAGGCTCCTGTGCTTCATTTTAGACTAAATAAACTGGGTAACCAGAGACTCATGTGAATGCAGGATGTTTCATAAACTCTCACAAATCCTCATGATGTCCCTGCAAAAGAGATATTGCCTACAAAAACCTGATTAGAGCAAAAATGAACGAATTTTTCTGCAATCAATTGCGGTCTGTATTTTAGCCAGACTGACATAATTTGAAGAGACACAGGGCATCTGGGGACGTGTGCTTTTTTTTTTTCAGTGATACACAATAGGGTTTTATTGTAATCCATGGTTTTACCACTGCTGTGTTTTGGGGTTCCTCTATTACAAAATACGGGATATGGTGTTTCTGAGCATGAAGATATTGTTAAGCCCTACACATTCCTGGAAAGTGGCTTTACTGTTCTTGCTGTGCTCTGCTTTGTCTAATTATCAGCGATCTGCACAAGCGAATTCAAGGGCACAATTTAGGCCCAGCTTTTCAAGTTTAGTTGCCTAAAGCTAGACAGCAAAAAGAGCTTACATAACTGGCTAGACAGTCAGGAGTATTGAGCATTTGCTCTATTACAAGTGACAGATCTTCAGCACTCCTGGAGTCTAATCTTACTACTAAAGATGACTCAATGCATATTTAGAAATCAGATTCAGAGGAGCCTGAAGGTCCACAAACTCCTTCAGGTGAACAAGCCCAACGGTTAGATGACACTAGCATTTACAAAATGCATATGCCACTCTTCCTCTGCCTACAGCCCCACAGTTACTGGGAGCCATCAGGAGCATCCTCCAGGTATAATGAGCATGCAGACAGATGCCTGTGTCCTGACATGCCCAACAGGTGAGCTTTTTAGGTATAATCCCTTTGGGGATTCAGGAAATAGCCATTCTCTTTCCTATCACACTTGGGGTGTTTCTGGAGATCACACACAAAAGGACTTTTAAAGACTTAGCAAATGCTTCCTTCACCTCCTTTTATCCTTCCCTTTCCCTCCATAACTCATCACAGACTGTGTCTCTAAGCTTTCTTGCTTTTGCTTCATACTCCAAGATCTGTTTCTCCCATGCACTGGAAAGGTCTGATTGTCACTGTCCACATCATCTTCTGCGAATGTATCACACCAAACTAAGGTTTTCCCAAGAGCAGAAAGGCAACTCGTTATCCTGTTCCCTGTGTTCTGATCATTTGCTCCTGGTTGTCACCCATAGAGGTTCAGATTCACTCAAAAACATCCACTTACTTTAAGACTCTTAACCGAGGCATGTCTATTAAATGGGATGCCACCCAGACTGCAGACACAGAATGTCAGGTGCAAGACACCGACAGTCAGTGAGTTGTCTCCCTCCCTGGAGGCCCCTTGTCCTCTGTTAACCACAGAAGCAGCCTACAGTGACCCTACTACTTCAGCACCTCCTTTAAGTGGGATGTCGAAATTCCTCTTGTGTTCATGCTGAAACCCCTGGTGTCAGCCTTTCTTACACTTGCTTGCTGCACCTCGTGTTGGCATGTCCTAGCTGAGAGCCACATCCAGAGGAAAAGTTGCACTACATTGATAACACTCCTGAGGGCGAAGCAAAGTTTATCTTAAGCAATTTTGGGGGATTAATAGGTAGAACTGATCTCTTATAGCTGCTGAATAACAAAGAAATCCACATTAGAACCTTCTATTTAAATATCCTGAAAATAAGAAATATTATGTCCCTTTATGGTCATGTGTGGATTTCCATTATTATTAATATTATAAATTATTATTGTTGATATTTATTTTGAGGAACTCTGTTACCTGTCTTGTAGGGGCTCATGACACAAAGAGGACAAAGGGCAGTGACTTGATATTTCACATGGAGGATAAAGACATAAGCTGTCTAAACAGCCAGCTCGCTACATATGGAGAGGAAAATCATTTCTATTCAAGTAGAGTCTCTGACCAAAATGTCTTTCTCCCTCACCTCCTTTCTATTTCATGATTAAATAAATCATAAAGCTGTCACTAGAGACTGCGTACAAGGAGGCCGCAAATGAGAGCTTTCTGCATTTGTCTATTTTTAATTTCAAAAGGTATTTTGAATTAAAAGAGAAAGAGAGAGAAAAAAGAGCATAATGCCATTCTCATGTGTGATTTCCCATGTGTACAAATAAGCGCTATGTCCTCCTGTAATAATATAATAAATTTTCAAAAACAAGCACTAATAAATGAGAATTAAACTATGCTCTGTAAATTTAATTGAGATTCACAGTGTCCGATTCTTTTCAAATTCAAATTACTACCAGACAGTGCATCTTTTTGCATAACTTATGCAGATAAGCAAAAGTGACAGCTTCTTCTTCCCATCTTTTTTTCTTTTTTTTTTTTTTCCTATTTTTTTCTTTTTTTTTTTTTAAATGGAGCACTATACTTCAGTCACAGTGCTGGAATTTTGGGATGGAAAAGCTGAATGATAGTTTGGCATTTTCCACAGAGACACCATATCATAGTGCACAGCGCTTAGAGAGCAGAGCAGAAAAATGAGCAGGGAAAAACAAGCATTTTCATTTTGAATGATAGACAAAAATTGATTTTTTTCTGTCATTACAGCAAACGCTCAAAGGTAACTACTGCTGCTTTGTGTCAGAGGGCTTTGGTCCTCAGTATATGAGACAAGGAGCTCCATGTAATCAAGGGATTTAGGGGTGCCAGAGCCCTCAGCCTCTTGCTGCTCCAGTGTGGAGCACAGGGGCCGGGGGGGAGCCCAGCAAGGGGAGCCTGAGCTTTTTGGAGAAGCATTTTGTAACACAGACCCCCTTTTGGCATTTTCTGTACTCATACTTTAGGGGGCTCCACTCGTGCCAGCTCTGTGCGGGGCTGCCGGCCGTGGGAGCCTCCGTCGGCAGCTCCGGCACAGGCTCAGCCCGCAGCCCGGCCTGCTAAAAAACTAGGACGCGGCGGCCCAGGAGAGAGCGACGCCGCTTTGCTCCGGCGGAGAGAGCAGTTTCCCACACGGGCAGATCCTGCCTGCCCTGCGCACGTGGGAAAGCCGGGGCAGCGCACGGAGCGGTGCCGGGAGCAATCCCAACCGGAGAGTCCCCACCTCCGCCAGCCACCCACGCCAGAGCTTGAGGCTTTAGCGTTCAACCAGGGCTTTTCACCGCACTGCCCTGGGAGGCTCCCTCAGCTTCGGGGGTGAGGAACCTTCCAATTGACGAGCTTATCTGGCCAGGTTAAGCTATTCTCTCCGCCAGTGTCATCCTTCAGCCCTTGCAGAGAGGACTTTCCCCTGATCCATAAGCCCCCGACGGCAATCGTTACCGTCTGCATTTGCCTCCCCGACTTGTTGGACTGAACAGGCTTGGTTGGACGGATGACCACGAACCTGCTGGTCATCTGAAAGCAACTGAAATAGTAGCCCATGCATTTGAGGAAATAAATCTCTCTTTTCTTTCTTTAAACCAGGGCGATGCAATGTTTAACCATGCAGGATTAAGCTGAAGGGTGGCATTTTGAAGGTGCAAGGAAGAAATGCTTTAGGCGATTGTTTTGTGAACTAGTGTGATGTTTTTTGGATGGGATAAAAGGAAAACTTCCTTTAAAACCACGTAGTAACATCACCAGAGACACTACTTGCACTGTTAGTTAATGGTAAAAGAAAACATTTCCTACCCATGAAAGTACAAATCATGTATTGAACCAGATTCCAAAGATGATGTAGTATGATAAGAAATGCCAAAAGTGATATGCAGAATGCTAACCCCTGTGAGAAAATAAGAAGAACGCTTCACCAATGTTGTCATAAAATGAACCATAGTCATCAACGCTAAGCTTATTGAAAAAGTTCTTTTTCCAAAGCACTTTTCCTTTTTTTTTTTTTTAAATTGGAGTAAGGCAGTAAAAACAGGAGTATAAGGAACACCAGTCATATACATCTATATTTTAATAAGTAAGTATGGCATTTGAGACTGAATTGGGTAAAAAAAATGCATGCATTGGAAAAAAAAAAAAAAAAAC